TAGTAAAACTAAATGCATGCTCTTCAATCGAACCCTGCTTGCAACCGCCCGCCCGACTAGAATAACTACTCTCGTGGGTCTGACTTAGAATATGTGGACAACTACAACTACCTAGGTGTCTGGTTAGACCGTAAACTCTCCTTCCAGACTCACATTAAGCATCTCCAATCCAAAGTTAAATCTAGAATCGGCTTCCTATTTCGCAACAAAGCCTCCTTCACTCATGCTGCTAAACATGCCCTCGTAAAACGGACTATCCTACCGATCCTTGACTTCGGCGATGTCATTTACAAAATAGCTTCCAACACTCTACTCAGCAAATTGGATGTAGTCTATCACAGTGCCATCCGTTTTGTCACCAAAGCCCCATATACTACCCACCAATGTGACCTGTACGCTCTCGTTGGCTGGCCCTCACTACATATTTGTCGCCAAACCCACTGGCTCCATGTCATCTATAAATCACTTCTAGGCAAATCCCCGCCTTATCTTAGATCATTGGTCACCATAGCAACACCCACCCGTAGTATGCATTCCAGCAGGTATATCTCACTGGTCATCCCCAAAGCCAACACCTCCTTTGGCCGCCATTCCTTCCAGTTCTCTGCTGCCAATGACTGGAACGAACTGCAAAAATCTCTGAAGCTGGAGACTATTATCTCCCTCACTAACTTTAAGCATCAGTTGTCAGAGCAGCTTACCGATCACTGCACCTGTACACAACCCATCTGTAATTAGCCCACCCAACTACCTCATCCCCATATTGTTATTTACATTGTTATTTATTTTGCTAATTTGCACCCCAGTATCTCAATTTGCACATCATCTTCTGCACATCTATCACTCCAGTGTTAATACTAAATCGTAATTATTTTGCACTATGGCCTATTTATTGCCTTACCTCCATAACACACTGTATATAGATTTTCTATTGTGTTATTGACTGTACGTTTTGTTTATTCCATATGTAACTCTGTGTTGTTTTTATCGCACTGCTTTGCTTTATCTTGGCCAGGTCGCAGTTGTAAATGACAACTTTTTCTCAACTGGCTTACCTGGTTAAATAAAATAAAAAATATACATACATACATACATACATACATACTTTTTTAAAATATATTTCCCTTTATTACTTTCGGTGGATGGCTTTGTACGCGTCGCGGATGTTTGTGTATACATGGTCAAGCACGGCGGATCCTCTTGTGGGGAAGGATACATGTCAGTAATATTTTGGGAAAATTTGCTTTAGACGGTTTCAAGTCACCCACGACAATGAAGACTGCTTCCGGGGGTGAAAGTATTCTTGCTGGCTAATGATCTTGTACAGTTTGCGGAGTGCCAACTTGGTGTTTGTTTGTGGCGGTATGTACACAGCTGTGATAGCACACATGAATTCAACTCCAGGTTGGATGAGCAGGAACTCACTGCGTCAACATAGGATGGCACAATCTTGAAAAGCACACTTGAAGCAAACATTTAGAGATGGAATGGTGGTGGTCAACAAATTTGATCCTAACACCCTTCCGTCTGCACTTCTGTGGACTTGATTAGAGTGACTTGTGTCATAGTAAGAGTCTAGGGCTTTGGCCTTACCTCCATAGCTTGGGCCAGGCGCTCTTCAAGAGCCATGTATGTGAGGAGCTGAGGATCCACATAGGAAATAGCCTGGGCCATCCCAAAGCCCTCTCCAAAGTCATCCAACAACCTAAGATGAAGCAAAAAATATAAAAAATCCTGGTCAGGAAACCTCCTGGCCCTACATACATCTATCTATCACGTTGTAAATGTCAACGCATCAAAGTACATTACAGGAGTAAAACGTCAAACATTCTACACACCTCCAGAAAACTATCATAAAAATCATGAATTATATCTCACAATTTGGAGTTAAAACTCTTAAATTGTTCCCCACCTCCACTCAGCGTCCAGGTCCTCGCTCACGCTGGAGTCATCCTCCAGGTTGTTGTTCCCGTCCAGGATGAAGAGGCCTGGGTGGACAAAGTGACTCATGCCATCTGGGTCTTCGTCACTACTGCTGCCCGTCTCCTCATTGTACATCAACCACGGAATCTCTCCCTCCTCCAGAGGGGTCGGCTCCCTGCACAGTGCACAAACACAGCTTGTGTTCATTGGGCACCAGCAGGAAGAAAATGGACTGAAACGGGGAGACTTGTCCAATAAGAAACGCTCATTTTCGTTTTGTGCCCTAATGGACACGACCAAGTTTTCACCTTGCAAATGAGAATCAAAAATATAGTATGCACCGGAAATGTAGGCTATGCAGAAAGGTATTTTGTGTGATTTGTTGGAAATTGTTAGATATTACTGCACTGCTGGAGTTAGGAACACAAGCATTTCACTACACCCGCAATAACATCTGCTAAATATGTGTATGCGACCAATACGATTTGATCAAATTATATACATATACAGTAGTTTACATATCTTAGTTAACAAATCATAAAATCAATATCCATGGGAATGATTCAGCCTACCTCAACTGATTTAATGTATTAATGTAAGACTTTGCTTGGAGACTGTGCTGCTGTGGCACTTAGCTTAATCGTTATTCCAGCCCACACCCTGGTTACACATCACAGCATTAACACATGGAGGTGTCGGTCTGAGGGCTGGCTGTGCTTACCAATGACATATAGAATATATAGTATACATTAGATATACATACATTTAAATGCAGTGGTCCCCCAGTCACAATTCAAATACTTCCCCGTTTAACTACTCCAGACTATTACTCATATCTGCATTACTCTAGATTAGTGTCTGCATTTAGGCCACTCCCAAGCCATTGATTGCATTTATCAGAAGTGATCGTATAAGGCTGTATTATGTTGCAGTTATCAGGAGTGACCCGTATAAGGCCAGTATTTTGGTGCTTACTCAAGGGGCAGGCTGAGCTCGGGGACATCCTCCAGACTGCTGCTGTGCAGTTCGTCCAGGCCGGGCAGCGTCTCCCAGCTCTCCTGATTGGAGCCACGCTCCTTCTCCAGGCCAGAGTCCGACGTCCACAAGGCTGACCACTCCCCCTCACTGCACTCCGAGCTGCAAACACACACACGCGTCAGTCCACCTAGTAAGCACCACACCTAATCTGCTTAGCAGTGAGGTCTTAGCAGTATAAACACAAGAGCTTCGCTAGCAACCTCCGCTTCCTCAATTGACACCATCAGGACAAAAGAGAGCTACGTATTCACACTTTCCCAGAAAGGCAACAATTGGATTGTGAGTTGCAATGTCTTTGATCAACAGAGACCTAGAAAATGCCTTGTCTAACATTTATGAATAATCCCAAATTATAGTGCAAATGTTTAACTGACATTTTCCCTTCACAGAAATCCAACACTTGTGATTAGATCCCACTGACCATATATACACTTGCTGACTATAATATAAATACACACGGTTTTGTCCTATTTTACTATGATCTAAGAGCAATAAAAGGGTGATATGTAAAAATGACAATCTAAGGTATATTATACCTTTCTTCAGCCTTCATGAAAGGAACACATGTCTTATTGAAGTCCTCAAGATCTTCCCAGATGTCCTTTTCATCATCTGAATTCATTTTGCTACAAGAATCTTCATGTTCACCCCTCCTCTCGATAGGGCTAAACCCATATGAATCAGTCCGAGGGTAATCAAAGAGAAACTCCTGGTTTGGCCTTTCCGTTTGTGTCAGGAAGAATGGCGGTGCAGACACACACTTGGTCTTGCTGGCCTGTTTGGCTGAGCCACAGTGCGCCTCCTCGCCGTGAGAACTCTTCCTCTTCTCCAGGTGTGTTTCACTCGTCTGCTTACGAATTTTGGGCCTCACCACCATCTCTGACTGGGTCCCTCTCTGGTCGTCGTTCCCCAGCTCAGCAGGACCTTTGGGGCCAACAGGAGAGCCACCGACTGCTAGGTCCTCTGGTGGGTGGTCCTCTGTGCTGTTTTCCGTGTGATCTGTTCTGTTGCGTTCTGATATATTCCACTCAGGAGGGATTTCTTCTGTGTTAGAATCTGATCTTGGATCTGTTCTAGAATCTTTCACTGACTCAGTGTCTCTGAGGGAACAGTCTGACGTCCCTTCACTAGATTTTGTGTACAAATACGAGTGCAAACCGCTGAGATAGTCAAACTCTTTACCCAGCTCGAAGATCATGTCATCCAGTCTTTTCTGGAGACCGTGAGACGGATCGGAACCCTGCCCCCCCTCCTCCTCGCCGCCGCTACTGTCTGGCTCGTAAGCATCAATATTTACAAAGCTCAATATGCTGGAATTAGAAGGGTTGCTGTCCTCGGGGATAGGCCATGCACTGGCTTCTGCACTTTTCTTCGAGACGCCATTTTGGTCCTGGTCTGAGGCTACAGGTTGGTCACTATTTTTGTAGTGGATGGAGTGGGCTTCCGATGACTTCCTAGAAGTTGACTGTTTCTTGTGGGGAGGATCTTTGCCAGATTTGATTTTCACCTCTGCGTGAACCGAATTCGATGACACAGGAAAGATGGCGTGAAGCATCGAGGAGATGTTCCCTGTTGAAGCTAGGAGAGGCGCATTTAGTTACAGCTAAAACACAATCAAAACATCTACTATTACCATGACTTGCCAATACACAACTATTACATTTGCTAAATACTGACATAGCATGCAGCAGCTCCAGCCAGCCACCATTTATGGCGCAGATTGGGGTTTATAGGCTTAGCTCCTCACACTGAATTTCATGTCACAGGATAAATCGATCCAAACCTGCCCCGGTGCAGTACTTACTCACATGCTGCTACTCACTACAGGAGTTGCTTAGTGGTCTGCCATGATGTCAAATAAATAATAAACATAACTTTAATTGATTTGTTGACCTTGATATCATGTTGTTCACATGTAGAAATATAGGCCTGACTCAAATAGCCTACAGCTTGTCCCTCAGCTATTCAATGCACTGCAAATGGGACTTAGCCATATAGATCTATTGCACCGTGAACGTACATATGGAATGCGCTCTATGGACACCGTCCATTTCCGTATCTGGCCAATCCTCCACTCTGGCTGGGTTCCTGTGCTTGTCAGAGGTTGGACGGAAGCTAACGTATGCATGCCTCCTGCCGTATCTCCTTCCTGTGATTGTCTGATATCCACCAGCTGGTTTGGGCCAGGCTGGCTTGCCAGCTTCCTGACCCATCACTAGAGAGAGAGGAAATAACAACATTGAAACACACAGCGCCAAACTAAAAGTTGAAAAGAGTGACTGATGGTTTAATCTGACCTATTGGGTGATTCCATGCCAGAGAAGCACAAAAATATTTTTGGTATCTCAGATTGTTCAGGCAATTCTCACATAGAAAATTAATTGGAAGGAAGGATGTTTGACATGCTTTTTACATTTGTATCGCAAACAATTTTTTTGAAAATCATGATGAAAGTGACTTTTTAGACCTATACATGCCTCCTGTAAGACACTATGATCTGTGAACCGTACATGACACAAACAACATATTGGTGTCATTATACTCCTTACAGTGTGCTCTAACATATGGAGTATGTCTTGATTCTGAAATACAATTTTTCACATTAATTTATTCAACATTGAAAATATTAATGTTAATATCTCAAAAGTACCTTTTTGATTTTGTTCATTTAAGACATTGTTTGGAACAATATACTCTACAAGTACATAACATTTCCAGTGGGCTCACTACTAATTTAATGAGCACCACCAACACAGTGAATGGGAAAATTGATTCAAAGGGAACTCCCTCTGCTGGTAATTTGTTTAATGTTTAATCCTAAAGGAGGGCTGTGCTTGGTTATTGACCTAATTTCTATGTATAAAATGGGTAATATCATTAAAAGTACCAGAGAGCTCACTCTGGAAATTTGACATGTTTGTAGAGTATATTGTTACAAACAATATGTCTAAAAATAAGCTAAAATAAAATAGGGTACCATATTGTCAAAATATACCTATTGTCTAAAAAGAGGAAGTGTGAGAATAACTGCGTCTTTGAGCTTAGATCCATACAAAACACAAAGCAGTAAAGACACAAGAAACATTGCTGCAAACCATAACAGTTGTGGAGGCCTTCTTTACACTTAAAAACAAACAGTCTGGAAAAGTTGGCAAATTAAAGCAATATAACAAATATGACTAACATGACATGAAAGCAAAGTAAACGTTCAAGGACTTGCTACAACAGTTGTTGACCTAGCTACAAATGTGACCGAAATTGAGATTAAGGAAAGGGGAGAAGGTATTATACTACCAAATTCAGTCCTAACAGTTCAATTATCATAACAAATGATAGGCCTATATGAAGCGATTTCAGTGCCAACAGAAATTGTATTTGAATTCCATAATTTTTCATTTGTTTTAGGGTATTGAATTTGAATGTAATATTTTTGAATTTGTAATGCACAAATTGAATCATTGAATTCAGAACTCAGAATATTGCATTCAGTTTAAAAATTCAATTTAATGGAATATTCAAGTTCAATATTTATATATTCGATTTCAATATGGTAGATATTGCATTCATTGTCTGTATCAAGTTTACAAATGATCATTTCAAGTTTATCAAAGTTTCATATATTTAACATCTCAGATGCATTCATATTCAGTTTTAAAATTCAACTGAAATTCAGATTCAAAACCAGAGACAACATCCTGGTACTTTGCCAGCCAGGAAAGGTAACGGAGAACAGATAGAATCAAACACTCACTGTGATAAACAAACTTCTGGCCGTTTCTGATGCCAATGTAGCATGATGAATTGATTTCCTTCCAATTAATTTGGCTCTAGCATTTGAACCGAGCTATTATGACCCCATTCCTGAAAGCTAAGACTCTCTGGTGCATGGACGTGTCTTCTGTTCCCCTCTATGACGATCACAGGCTGCGTTAGAAGGCCCCCATAATAATATAGTTGAAATGCCAGGTCATGGCCCTTCTACAGATAGCCTTTCCACTCCCCTTTAATATTGCTCTTGTGACGGTCATGGATAAAGGGATCCAGCTTTTGTCAAATTAACGTAAAAAGTTGATTTATTTTTAATTATCCAAAACTGCTGCGTAAATTCTCCTAACCTGCTACGAAAAGTCAATTCTGACGTTAATTTGACAAAAACTAGATCCCTTCTAGCCATGACCTCTTGGTGACTGACTGGGTTCGAACCTGGTCTCCTGCATGTCACAAGACTATAAAGGACACTCATTTAGTTTATACAATTATTTTACAAGCTAGCTTGATAGCGAGTTAATAGCAAACAATAAACACTTAGTTACATTTTGGAGCAAACTAGACAGCAATGAAACGGAATAAGCAATAGTGTAGCTAGCACGCTAGCTACATAATTATTGCAACCGGCTTGCCATTGTTGTCTAGCTAGCTTGGTTGCAAAGTTATTTTACTAACGTCATTCGCTAGCTAGCTAACTGCACAGCACCCAAAACAAATTGCTATACCTTACGAGAACAGTAGTCACTATAGCTAGCTGGTTATTTGGCTGCTACTTCACAGATTATTAGGGTGTATTCAGAAAATAAGATTCGTGTTTAGCAGACGGAAAAATACTTGGCCTTGGCCTAAGTAACGTTAGCTAGCTAACTATCGTGTTATGCTAGCTAGCTTGTCAAAAGAGCTTCCTCCTCAATGCATCCCGTTAGCTAGCAATTTCCAAACGGCAAGGGACAAAACGGTCCACTTGTTATTAATCAAACATTACTGGTCCCCATATTTTCTTGTTTCTTTTAACCTATATCGACATCCATTATTCAAAGTGGTTGCTGTATTACCTGTCCCGCAGGCTTTCTCTCCGTCCGAAACTGCGAAAAAAAAACCTGTACGCTAACGTCATCGGCAAACTTAGTGTCATATGACAGGCTTTGTCCAATCTACTGCTGAGACTGCATTGGCAATCGATTTTAAGGGGATTTAAACCATACGTCTACTATAATAAGAGAGAAGCGCAGGACACCTCAATAAAAAAGTATAACAAATGTGTGGCTTGTGCAATTTGATTTATTAAACACCTGGAACATCTTTATTGGTGACTAAAATAGATTATCATCCAATAAATCAAATCAAAATCAAAGCAATGTGTATTGGTCACGTGCACAGGATACAGGTGTAAATGCAAATTGTACAGTGAAATGCTTCGCTAACTCTCCTCAACAATGCAGTAGCCTACGATATCAATCAAGAATCAAATGCCAAATAAAAAGTCCAAAAATTACAAGTAGTAATAAAAAAGTAGAAGAAAAAAGTAATAAAAACGATAGGAAAATTAAATAATAAAAATGGCACATGCGCTGAATACAACTTTACAGTGAAATGCTTGCTTATGAGCCCTTCCCAACAATGCAGAGTTTAACATTTTAAATTAAAGTAGTAATACAAGAGGAATTAAATTAAATTAAACACAAGAATGGAGCTATAAACAGGGATATACAATATACAGTATGATTTATAAAATGTGCTGTGTCAAATTACGAGAACTGTTATATACAAGTAGTAAAGTGAGAAGTGACTTATATAGCAGCTTAAATAAATAGTATTAATAAATAGTAACAGCAGTGGTGACCATGGTGTGTGTTAAAGGCCAAGTGCAGTCAAAATTCAGATTTTCCTGTGTTTTGTATCATATTGTAACGACCCTGGGTTTATAAGCGGGCACAGTCGATGGTGCGCTGGACTTCGGGCTAGAAGGTTGAGGGTTCGAGACCTGCTCCCTGCCTGTTTCATTACAATATTATAAACTGGGTGGTTCGAGCCCTGAATGCTGATTAGCTGAAAGCCTTGGTATATCAGACCATGTACCACGGGTATGACAAAATATTTATTTTTACTGCTCTAATTACGTTGGTAACCAGTTTATAATAGCAATAAGGCCCCTCAGGGGTTTGTGATATATGGCCAATATACCACGGCTAAGGGCTGTGTCCAGGCACTCTGCGTTGCATCATGCATAAGAACAGCCCTTAGCCCTGGTATATTGGCCATATACCACACCTCCTCGGACCTTGTTGCTTAACTATACAACAGCTGAGAAAACTAACACTGTAAAAGTGTGAAACAAATGAATCAGTGTTATTTCCTGATAGTTGCTGGTTGAAAATACAATATACACAGGACCTTCTAATAAGCAGTTTCGGCTTTCCATGGTGATATCACCATGTGGTACATGGTTAATAGACCAATAACAAAAAGAGTTCCAAACTTTTCTGCCAATAATAGCTAGTTTTCAGTTGTCCCCTCTCATTACATTTACATTTACATTTTAGTCATTTAGCAGACGCTCTTAACCAGAGCGACTTACAGGAGCAATTAGGGTTAAGTGCCTTGCTCAAGGGCACATTAACGTCATTTAGCAGACGCTCTTAGCCAGAGCGACTCACAAATTGGTGCGTTCACCCTATAGCCAGTGGGATAACCACTTTACAATTTGGGGGGGGGGGGGGGGGGGGGGGGTTAGAAGGAATACTTTATCCTATCCCAGGTATTCCTTAAAGAGGTGGGGTTTCAAATGTCTCCGGAAGGTGGTGAGTGACTCCGCTGTCCTGGCGTCGTGAGGGAGCTTGTTCCACCATTGGGGTGCCAGAGCAGCGAACAGTTTTGACTGGGCTGAGCGGGAGCTGTGCTTCCGCAGAGGAAGGGGAGCCAGCAGGCCAGAGGTGGATGAACGCAATGTCCTCGTTTGGGTGTAGGGACTGATCAGAGCCTGAAGGTACAGAGGTGCTGTTCCCCTCACTGCTCCATAGGCAAGCACCATGGTCTTGTAGCGGATGCGAGCTTCAACTGGAAGCCAGTGGAGTGTGCGGAGGAGGGGGGGTGACGTGAGAGAACTTGGGAAGGTTGAACACCAGACGGGCTGCGGCATTCTGGATGAGTTGTAGGGGTTTAATGGCACAGGCAGGGAGCCCAGCCAACAGCGAGTTGCAGTAGTCCAGACGGGAGATGACAAGTGCCTGGACCAGGACCTGCGCCGCTTCCTGTGTAAGGCAGGGTCGCACTCTCCGAATGTTGTAGAGCATGAACCTGCAGGAGCGGGTCACCGCCTTGATGTTGGCGGAGAACGACAGGGTGTTGTCCAGGGTCACGCCTAGGCTCTTCGCACTCTGGGAGGAGGACACAGCGGAGTTGTCAACCGTGATGGCGAGATCATGGAACGGGCAGTCCTTCCCCGGGAGGAAGAGCAGCTCCGTCTTGCCAG